GCTCGCACAATCGAGAAATATACGTTTTATTATTATTATTATTATTATTATTATTATTATTAATATTCTTTTTCTTATTATTAAGGCTTGTATACTTCATGAGCAGGGGCTTTTGTACGTGAGGCCACGTTAACTAACGTTGAACTCGTCTACAGAGCCCCAGAGTTCTTAATTGAATTTACTATGGTGGAGACGCAAGTCCTTAAGCTGCTACAGGAACTGAACCCTTCCAAACCGGCTATAGGGTCACTGACCACTCACTTCTGTAACCAGAAGTGAGTGGCCTCCTTTCTGCTTCACTCTGGTTCTTCGGGTGCCCTGAGTAGTTTGCCTCTACTCAGAAGCCGTTTTATCCTCACCTAGATAGCCGGCTCCCAACGGTTCACGGTACACCTTGATCGTCCCGCTGCATTGCGGGTTAGGTCTCTCATGACCAAAGGCTCCGGGTGGTATCTCCTAAGTCCATCCTCTTCCTCGGCTTGGGTAACTGGGAAGCACCATGCCTACACAACCTATGGATCCATGTCCCAACAATTCTTCGCTCCCTTTCTCTGCTCTCCCTCTATCCGCTCACTTTCTCTCGAACTGCTCTCCTCGGCCGAGGTAGTGGCGGATGAACCTTCCAAACCACGTTTTACCGCACCACTGTTTAGTCACCTTATTCAGGGTTTGTTCAACCTCCATATTCCTGGTCTTCCTTCTGTTTTCGCGTTCACAACACCGTGCCGCCTTGGGTGAACCTTGTTGCCATACGGATCAGGATCCTAGGTCCGAGGGTGTGTCAAGCCGTGTTGACAAGCCATTTCTCGCGCCCCGTTCCCAATTCAAGCTGGCAATTTTCAGTGTTCGGATGCTGATGCAGATTGGATCAAAGGTAGCCCTTGCTCGTTCTCTAGAAACTACAGCCAATGATGTCTGCTGTCTCAGCGAGACCCGTCTACATGACTCTAGCACAACTCTGCGACTAGTTTTACTGTCTTCGAATTCCACTGGTATTTTCACTTTGCGCTTATCGGGAGACTCAACTTCAGAAGCCACTGGTTATGCAAGCGTGGGGATTGCGTTGAGCACATGTGCTGAGGCCGCGCTACTAGACTGGATCCATGTCAACAGTCGACTTTGCGCGATCCGACTTGCAACCTCCGTACGTCCCCACAGAGTGTAGCCCGGAGTCAGTTAAAGACCAGTTCTATGGTCAACTGGCCGACCTCCATAAAAAGCGCCGTACTGACATCGTGGTGCTCGCCGGGGACTTGAACGCCCAGGTCAGTAGACTTGAAGTTGACGAACGTAACTTGTGCCAGGAGTATGAAGGAGCAAGCGTCAAAATTAGCCGTGGTCGGACGCTGTCGACTCCCTGGCTGGAGTGTGCAGAATCCGGAATATGCATGGCTGAAAACACTAGGATATGGCAAGAAACTGTGCGCATTGACGACAATGTGACTCTATTCCAATGAACATTGTTCTTCCATTCTCTCCTCGTTTGTTTATTGTATTTTCCGTACGTTGTGGCGCTATGCCAATTATACTATTGGCTGTGCGAATATATACATACATATGGTTGGCGGCATCCGGTTTCGGATTTGCCTGTCACTATAGCCAGCCCCAGGAACCCTGCGCTTACAGAGGGACCATGGGTGGCTTGCGCTGCACCACCCACAGCTCCAACCACACACCCCAATACCAGTGTAAACCCGAAGGAATAAGACCGGGAGGCATGTGGATGGGAGCCACGTTTCACCAACGGAGCCGGCCCAAACTCCTTCACAGGCAAACACAAGCACACTGTATTTGGGAATCAACCGCACACAAGGCGGTGGCTGGGCCGTAGTCCGCTCCACACTGAGTGCATGGAACCAATCTTCGAGCCTTGCACGGCCACAAGGACCGTGCACCCCGTCCCCTCCAGCAACGACCAACTGTCTCTTGGAGCCAGTATGGACGAGGTAGTGGGTAATAGACAGGTAGGCACCTTGTCAACATGCACATCAAGCGCAGCCGCCCCGGGGATATCAAGAAACAGCTAATCACTTGGAACGACAAGATCCAATAAAATAAATCGAATAATGCATACAGGCACGGTGACTTAACTCATCAATAAATGAGTATATGAAATAGCGGTTACGAACAAATCCACGATAAGTTCAAGACGTCAGAAAATAAATTCGCAACCAGCTTAGCCTGATTCAATTCACGAGAAGCTCTTGTATGAGTTGGCGGCGGAACTAAGTGGATCGCCGACAACGCTGTTTCGGAAATCACCTGACAGCTGTACATTAACTTTTAAATAGAAGGAGGCTGTCATCTGTCCTATCCTTAATAATCGTGACAGGAGTCTGTCAGCCAATCATAAACCAATCAGTCTGACTAGAGTCGTAGTCAAACTGCTTAAGAATCTGGTGGGAGATTGGTTAGAAGGTTGTATGCATTGATTTAATATACTCAGTAATGCACAGCACGGATTCCGGAAGGGGATTTCTTATCTGGCGAATTTATTAGTTGCTCTTGCAGCTTGGGCTGAGAGTGATCAATCTCCACGCAATGGACGTGCTTTTCGTCGACTTCTCGAAAGCATTTGATAAGATACCCCATTTGAGGCTATCACAAAAGCTGAGCTCCTACGGTGTATCTGGCCGCGCCCTTCACTGGGTATCTGCATTTTTGCAAGAAACAACTGTGTGCATGCTTGGGTCGCAGGTTATCTGTTAGGCAAGCGGTCCTTGGCAGTGCCCTACAAAGCCCCGTCATTGGATTGATACTGTTCTCTATCTATCTAAATGTTCCCCTTGGATAGTTTGGGGTATCATCGCTAATATTGGCTGATGACCTAAAGCTGTGGAATCTTGTAGATGTCCCTGGGGGTTCTGAGGCCATTCAGCGTGCCCTGGGCGGATTCTGGGACTGATCTACTTTGTGGCTACTGCCCATTAATTAGGCTGTGTTCCGTTCTTCATACGGGAGCAATTTTCTCACCGAGGTATGTGCTTGATGGGGTCGAATTCCCCTTTCCTCCAACCAGATAGACCTACGCGTCGTCCATTCCTCGTCTTTGCATTCTGGTGACAACGGGAAGAATGCTGCTAGTAGGGCTTTCAGAATGTTGTGGTTATACGCCGTTCTTTCGGGGTCTTAATTACCGACATATTTGTGAAGCTGTTCTCAGCTTTCGTTTGGCCCCATTTGCGATATTATACCCAGAATTGTCCGCTCTACCTTGTTTGGGACAAGATGAAGCTCGGTAGGGTTTTGAGAGTTGGTACCAAGTTGGTCGAGGGGTTACTGGGGCAAACGTACTTTGACCGTCTACTTAGCTTGGGTATGTATTCAATGCACTACCGTCGACTTCTAGGACACCTAATGCTTACCTACCTCATTTTAACAGGGAAGTTTGGGCCGGACTTGAGCTGGCTATTTAGGCTGGCTAGGTTGCATTGTCTTCCCGGTCATCCCATGAAGCTACACAAGCAGCGTTCCGACCGGATCAGGGCGGATACTCGGTTACCACGTAGAGTTATCGAGCGCTGGAACTCTTTTCGAGAAAGTGGTCAGTGAACCTACGGCTAAGGGTTTTGCGTGGCAATTAGACGCTCTTGGGTGACAATACGCAATCTTTTCCCTCTCCTGACCATATCCATCTTTCAAGTTTGACTTCAAATTCAGTGCTTCTCCTTACTCTTTGGTGTTATCCTTCATTTAACTGACTTTCTCTCCTCTTTATCTTCCTTTTTCAACGTCTTCCTTAGTTCACGTGACTTGCACAGCGGTAACTGCTAGTGCAGGGAACGTGGACAGTAATTGGTTGACCAGGTGGTGGTTCTGGTGTTTCGTTTTAGATCCATCAAGACGTCGTAGCACCTTATCACTTCCTGGCTCAGCGATCCACTTTAGAAGGAACACTCAATAGACTTGCTCTATAGTTCCTGTCCCATCTGAATCTGAAGCCTGCTGCCGCACGTAACGAAGCAAAGTCGGTGTCGGAATTCAAATTCCCTGACAAAAACCCTCGATATGAAATAACGGGAATGATCGCCAACACAATTGGTCACTATCCCTGAAACATTTTAAATGCAGCTGCACATAAATGTCTCTTCTTGCTGCTTCCATACAGTGGTCAGTAATTATTAATTACGTCCGCTGTTAGATTCTGATCTACTGGCTCAGTTCAACTCTCGTTTACCCAGTAACGGACTTAGTACAGAACTATGGGAAGCTGTACTGAATTTAGTGCGTATGATTGTGCTGGTTTTTACAACACGGAAGACTTTACACACAAGATTTCTAGCAACCAGGTCATTAGTTGAATGTAATGTGAAACAAATCAACCCCTATGAAAAGTAACGGTGATTGCGGACAACAACCTCTACCGTAGCTGAAACAACCCACGAATTTTGTATCACTGGAGTTTCTGTATACAAACACGTCCTCACTGAAATTCGAACCCCATATTCACTGATGCAATGCCGCTCCGCTGTCTTGTAAACGTGGCTCGAAGAAGCGGCGTGCACTGTTAAGCTTCATCTATCAACTTTTTAATAAGAGGATGTTTAAAGAACACTCTCAAAATTAGACACACTTCGAAAGACAACCCAGCCCGATGGTTGGTGTATCTGATGAAGTCAGGGGCGGACTCACTTGCAAATTTGTGAAGCTTGATGTTATAAAATATGGGAGACGAGGAAGAAGAAACGAACACTAACGATGAATCTTTGTCATCAAAATGTAGTCTTCGGACGTTATCTGCGTCGATACCCTGGCCCTAGGCGTCATTTGCGTTTTTCCACGGTCAGTGGCTGGTCATTGATACTAGCCATTCAGGCTGTTCCAGCACATAACCTTTGAAGTAACAAAACATTGACTTTACCGATTACTCTTGGTTTTTTCCCTTTCACCAAGTATAAAACACATTTCAGCTCCACTTCAGCTTTCATTGCTTTTATTGAACATCAAATAATGTCATCCCGTATTATCTTCTTAATCAAACTTCAGTTATCTTATCTGATATGGATTTCAAACGTCCTTTGGCTGGTGTTGCCACTATGTCGATGGTTCCTTTGCCCGCCAAAAAAGCTCGCTATGAGTCCCCAAGCTTTACATTGGCCACTTTCGGAGGACAGGCCGGCAAACCGGGATCGCAGATTATACCCGCCGGCAAACCGGGTAGTATACCTCGATCATCAAATTTGATGTCGCCTAATTTGCTTTTGAACGGGCATGACAGTGAAATATACTGTGGCAAATTTTCTCATGACGGCACTTTTCTGGTGAGTGCTGGGTTTGACCGCCGAATTTTGTTATGGGAAACCTTCGGCGAATGCGAAAACATTGCTACACTTATAGGTAAGGTTGTGAACATTATCTGTTTGGCTATGGCAGCGTTCTAGTGTTTGGGTATATGCTTTCAGTGCATATGTGTTTTACCTGGTGTCTCACATTTTGTGCTTTAGTCATGCACTTTCAATCTTTTCTGATCTTGGCTGTAGTCTGTGCTAACACCATGCTCTTGACTACTTCGCTGAGAACTGTAGCCACAGACCGTAAGTGGTCGGCTCTATGCGGTAAGGTCATATAAATAAATAAATAATTAATTAATAAATTTGTATATTTACCGACAGGGGCACTGTGCTAGGCCAACCATCCCTTCCGAGGTTAGGTTCAGTGCAATAAACTAAAACAGCATTTATGAGACTGACGACGATGACAATTTTTAGAACGAATGCTTATACATGAAGCTGACGCCTCAATTACAAATTCATCTCACTTTCTCATTGTGGTCCGAGTGTCGGAACGCAGTGGGTCGCGGCTTCGAAGTTCACCTCATTTGTGGTAGTGACACCGTTTAAACTGTATAATGAACAGTAACAGAAAATTTTATATGACGGAATTTGAAACTGGTAGAATCACATTGTTATGCTTATGAGACTGGACCTTATCGTGGTGCGACTGCTTTCGTGCCTCAGCGATCCACTAAGCTGTGCCGAGTAGTGCTTTTGCACCATCAGAGCCATTCATGCCAGATTTCTCACCTACTAGGGACCAGACAAACTCAGTCTCCTGGTTCTCCAGCTTAGGGAGCCGGCCCGTGACCGAAAGGACAAGTATCTGCCTTGCAACCTGGATGTCGCGGTTCGAGCTCTGTATAGGGCACCGGGCGACTGCAGTATCCTTAGCCCACGCGCGACTGGTGGTGTTTGCGTAGCAGCGAAGTCTCGGTACGGCATACCGACATACTGCTGATGCCTGCCGATTATGGTTTGGGGTGGGGATGATATCTAAATAAATAAATGCACACAACCTACAGGTCGACACGGAGCTATCAGAATCCACTAAAACAATGGAAAGCACAGTCGCCATAAAAATATATCCAACACGACGCAGAGCTGTCCATGGTTTTGTCAGAGGGCGCGGCACTACCCGATTGCCCAAGCCGAAGTAGGAAATTGTCTCGGGAGACACCTCTCCAATCCTTTGGCTGTGTGGGCTACCTGCATACCAACGAAGCGAAGTAAGGGAATCGCACCCATAGGGAGCCGGTGACCGATTGTTCATTGCATACGCCTTTCTTTTGCTTGGTTGACAAACAGAAGCCCAGTCCTTCCCATGAAGTCAGCATTAGGCCACTAGAGTACAGTGCATCACCGGGACGAAGCAAGAAACAGTGACTTTGGTTAGTAGCGAGTCATATCCACCACGTCGCAGTTTTTTTAAACAGAAATTCGTGGTTTTTTTATAGGTAGAGTGCTTGCGAGACGAAAGCCCATCAACTCCTGGAACACTGCCACCGAGTCGTCCGCTGGAACGGGTTAACTCCAAACCACCCAGCTAGCATCGCGAGGTTGTTCGACAAGCAAGCCTACTGGCAAACTCCTAGTCGTCTGAGGTCAGCTTTTGTAACCAAAATTTTGATTGAGAACCCTATCGGTTCTTTTATCCTACTTAAGCAACCTGACGGCATCCAGCTCGCACAATAAAACGAACCTTTCAAGCAATTTCTCGATGCTTTGGCCATCGCGGAGGGTAATCAACGGTGCCCTTACTGTTGCATCGAGCAGGGTAGATAGGGACATAGATGCTACTACTCAAGCCCCCTGTCCTCGTATTCACTCTCTTACGCTTTTCCATATTTGTTGTCTCGCTGCAAATTCCCTTTTATCCCCTCTTCAGCTCACAGTTCCTGCATCTCATTCACTTTGCTCTGGTAGGCGTTTTTTCTAGTTTTGATTCACACGATTGTCACTCTTGCACCGTCGGCAAATCCATGTCTAACCAATTAGACAACTTCAGTACATCCCCTTTCATTTGGAACCACTGATCCTTTCTAAGACTTGCGTGCCTCAACATTGCAGATCGTTCAACAGGCAGTAGCTGGCTTTCCGAACTACCTCCTCTTAGTGCCAGCTGGGTGGTTCGGGTGGACCCCGTTCCAGCGAAGTGTTCGGCGACAATGTTCCACTTCGGTGGGGCATTGTAGTCCAGCAATTGTGCTAACTTCATGGGGAGTATTTGGCCTTTGTTTGGTGATCTACCAAACGAAAGACGCATGAACTGAACATTCAGTCATCGCCTGCTAATTGGTGCAATATCCTGAAATCGCCCCGCTGCCTTTCGGGTAGGTTATCTAGCCAATGGCTCAAGGTGCGGTCCCCTACGTCAACTCCCTACTTCGGCTTGGGCAACCGGGTAGTATCACTCCCTCACAAAACCATACAGTACTACAACGTGCTCATCATCCACCGTTTCTGCTTCTCACATTCACGCGACTTCATCACACGCCAATTGTTTGTTTGCTAACAATCTACTTTCCGTTACCCGATTCATGTCTTCAACAATTTGGCTGCGATTCCGTTTGTTCCGCGAACCAGGGAGTTTAACCTATGGCTCTCCTTCGTCCCCCATTTTCTTTTCGTCTGGTGTGCTTCAACGTTCGGACACATGCAGATTGGACAGCAAGCCGGTCTAGCGCGCACCCTAGAGTCCCTAGACATTTGTCTGCTGGCTTTCAGAAACCCGGTCGCAAGATCCCAGCACTGTGCTTACATTGACATTCCCCACTGACAATGAAGCCAAATAACACCTGTGTCTGTCTGGAGATCCAGAAGCAGCCTCAGCGGGTTTCGCCGGTGTAGGTATAGCACTAAGTGGCAAGGCGGAGGCGGCACTACTGGACTGTGCAGTTCGGCTTCGGGGTTCATGTAGAATCAACAAGCACCGCGAAGAGAGACGCAACTTGTTTGTCATCTCCGTGTACGCTCCAACTGACTAGTAGCGACTCGATCAATGACGAATTCTACCGGGATCTACATCAGCTCTTGACTAATGCTACAAAGTCAGGTGTAGTTGTCCTAGCTGGGGATTTTAATGCACAGGTTGGCCGCCTGTCACCATACGAACGTCACCTTGGTGGCCACAACGCACTCGATTAGAACCATTTTGATAACGGAGAGAGGCTTCTTACAATTTGCGAAGACAACCATCTGTTTCTCTCGAGCACTAACTTCAGGCATACGAAGAAGCGTTCCGCAACCTGGCGTCCCACTTCGCCAACACAACCGTGGTCTCAACTTGATCACATTGCGATTAGCTTCAGATGGCGTGGCAGCGTACTGGACTGCAGATCTTTTTGGTCCACCTTCGTTTACTCAGATCATGCACTGGTCTTCACGGAAACTGCATGTGCTTTGGGGGTCCCGAAACACGAGGCACCGCAAGATTGATGAAAGCAAATTAACTGATTCCTTTGTCCAGGCGAGCTATCAGTCTTCACTGGCATACGCACTCAGTTGCAATCCACCGCAAGACGTGGAGCAAGACTGGACTTGTATACGGAAAGCGATGACCATTTCCGGACAGTCAAGCTGCGGTCTAGCTCGACGCCTCTTAAAGGCTTGGATCTTTGCTCGTTCTCTGGAGCTGTTCGAACGCCGCAAAGCTATCCCGACGGAATCAGATTGCAACGAGCGGCGCCGTTCTGCCAACCGGCTGCTCAAGCAAAGCCTACACAAGGATCGCGATGCGTGGTGGTCTGAGCGTGCTTTAGTGATGGAGACCGCTGTCCTCTCTGGCAACACTCGCAAGCTTTTTTAACTCATTCTGAAGCCTGGTGTCCGTGATATCATTTTCGAGGTGGATGAGTCTCCGATCACCAACCAACAGAGGCGTATGGACCGCTGGGCCCGAGCACTTTCACTCGCAGTTCAACTGGCCTCCACCGTCCATCAGTACATGCAGTACACCTTGTTGTTTACCTTGGCTCTTCTCACTGAATCCACCCAGCGAGGTGGAACTCTGCCTAGAGATTTGACGCTTGAAGCGGTTCAAGGCTGCCGGCTCAGACAGACTTCCTCCGGAGTTGTTCAACTACGGTGGTTTGGCGATCATTAACCAGCTAACTGCGCTGTTCGCAAAAATCTGGCCTGAAGAGAAAGTGCCTTCCTCTTGGGGCGAATCAGTTATTGTCCCAATTTTCAAGAAAGGCGCTCGCACTTCATGTGTAAATCATCGCGGGATTAGTCTTATTTCGGTTGCCTCTAAGCTGTTGGCATCCATTCTGCTCCGTAGACTATCCCCAATACGTGAATCATCCTACCGTGAAGTACATGCTGGTTTCCGTCCTTGCCGCGAACGCGTAAATCAAATCTCCACGCTCCGCAAACTCCTCGAACATCGCAACATTTATCACAGACCCACTATCGTTTCATTTCTAAACATACGTGCCGTTTTCGACTCCGTTGATCGACCTGCTTTATGGCGTTGGTTGCTAAGAAACGGGGTGCCAGAGAAATATACCGCCATCTTACGAGCACTTTACCTTCATACATGCGGCAGAGTGAGGATCTATTGCAAGCATTCATCGCAATTCGCTGTCAATAGCGGTGTGCGACAGGGCTGCCCTATGTCCCCATTCCTCTTCATCTTCGCAATCGAAGATCTGTCGAATGCTCTAGGTTTCCAACATTTTGCTTAGAGCTTCTACCGGGTGAGCGCGCGACCGACTTAGATTATACTGATGATATCGCCTGAATTGGTGACCATTCTCAGGGCATACAACTCATTCTGGATCGTTTGGCGGTTGAAGCATCTAAGTATGGCATAAGCTTCGCCCCATCGAAGTGTAAAGTACTGCTCAAAGATTGACTTTTACCTGCTCCCGTGCTCACTCTCCAAGGTGCACAACTTGGATAGTTAGATGGTTTCGTCTACCTTGGGAGCTGTGTTTCTGCTGACGGCACTATCAGCAAAGAATTTTCATCTCGCATCGCTAAAGTCCGATGAGCATTTGCCAATCTGAGGCACTTGTGGCCTCGTCGCGACGTCCCATTTTCGTTAAAAGGCCGCGTTTA